GAAAATGCCCAGATCAAGAACCAACTAGCTGAGCTGCTGATTTTGTCTAACTACCATATATTCCGGTGTTTGGAGTGATGTAACTCATGGGGCATTACTTAAAGGTAAACGAGCGCGCCTGATAGAAATATTTGTATACACGCTATATGATCGTTGCACAATACCGGACTTAACGTACGCTGGTAGCGACATCTCATGAAGCTTTGTGCAACTAGATTTTTCTGAGAACACGTTGCACTAACAAAGCGGGACTATATTGTAACAGGACACTATATTGTAATAGGACAAACACATAGGAGAAAAAATGACAACGTGGAATGACAACTTGATATGCGATCCATACTTATGGCACTGTTTCTTATGGCATTACCAACGGATGCTGTAAATACGATCAGATGGGCGTATTTGTACGAGGAAAGTGATGCTGTGACATTGTAAATGTCTTCAGGGACGAGCCAGTCAAGCCTTTACCCTCGAAGACTGTCCATATTGTTTTTTTTTTTCGCGAGATAAACTACGATTGATTTATCGAATGTTGGTAACAATGCCCGTGCTCTCCGTGTTTTTGTTTTCTTTTGTGTGGTTCTAATTCGGACATGTACCAGCAAGCCCAACAGCGAGTTCTACTATATATCAATAATGCGTCGTCAGATAGCCCGCCTGCAGTATGCCGATGAACTAACGATTGGTTAATCCTTGCGGAAATGCTGAAGCAGCGCGCCAGAGTGGGCCTTACGTACCAAAAGACCCCCGCTTCACTTGTATTTTTTTTTATCACCTATAGCTTTACTGCGCTCTGCAACAACTGGAACAGTGACGCCATCTGGTCGCGCAGAGCTGACACGTCTCGATTCGCGGCTTTTGCAATTACCTCCTGGAGTGCCTTGTTATCTCCATCTGTGCTGTGCCGGAGCGCAATTTGCGACATCGGCGTATATAATTGCGAACACGGTGCCTTCTAACAGCAGGACTTTTTCAAGACGAGCCTGTGCCCTCTGCATGTATGTCTGGTGTCGTTAAGTGAACGATGATGATGGCAAAAGTTAGTCTGAGCTGTCTTAGTCTCATACACGAGTGCACTTAGTGTTCCAGTGCGACGTTTTTCACGACGTGAGCTAGATCTTTTTGAAGCAGCTTATGAGATGTGATGAACTCTCATCCACTCATAGAGCTGCCTTAATTATAATCGTGGTCAGGTGACGCGTCACAATTTTGCTGCAGCCCCCTGGCTACCATCGTCCGCGGTAGTGCAGTGATGCGCTAACGCCCTTTCCAACATCAAGATACCGGCAACGCTGAAGGGGTTTATTTCGTACGCTTGGCTGTGTAGACGTTCTCCGCGTTGAAAAGATCACCTATGAACTCGGCAACGTCTGTGCTGACAGCGCAAAGCCTAATAAATCGAACTCCCTTGGCGACAAACGTTGCCTATATTTTTTCTATTCATTCCTCATTCATTCATTCATTCCTCATTTCAACCCATTCCTGTTTTATTGGATTATGGCCTGCAAAATCAGTTTCAAAATACTACGTCCGTGAATGGCCGTCAAGTTATCTTACATCTGCGATTTGACAAATGATCTCAGGTGATGGGCTGATGAAGTTGGTAAAGGCGCAATAAAAACACATTGTATCGCCGAACATTCAGCGTCTATACGCGCACCGATTGATTCCGCCATTTTAGTCGTCTCTTTGCTCGTTACGGAAAATGGTCGAGTCATGCATGGGAGGCGTTCGCAAATGGTGTTCTTGGGTGCAGCGTGAGATTTCCGTATCGGACTGTTCTGATGGTTTCTTAACGGCCAGCCTTTCACGTATAGCACTGTTGCATCCCTGCAAGGGGTAATACCAAGTGTTATGACTTTAGTGAAGTCGTGTTCTATAGATGCCCTGTAGAAATTCAGGTTAAAACGGCAGATACCTCATCCAGCCGACAATGCTTTCTCTAACCCTGAAAGCATGCTGTTTATGTGAGGGCAGGAAACTTGGTGTAATGCATTCCGCCCCCGCCCCCTCCCCCCTTTTTTTTTCGAATGTATGAAGTGCGTTGTCGCTTTAAACTCGACAGATGTGTAAATTCCTGTAGACTAACGGAGATACTAGATTGTAGGTGCTAGGAATGCGCCGGTGAATGCATCAATTGTGCGAATTATTAACTTCGACTGGAATGAATCAGCAGTGGTACACACTTAGGCGACGCTAGTTAGAGTAATCCTCAGCGCAAGGTAAAAAAAATGTTTAGCGATTCTTACCTTTAGAACTACAAGCCAGTTTATAGTTTAAAAATTGGCCGCCTATATGCGTGTTTCCCTGCAAAGGACGTCGAAAGACGATAATTTTCTGCTGGAGAGAGAGAGAGAGTGAGTGAAACAGCGTGAGAAGATTGATGAGGCCTACGTGAGGTTTGACGTCATCTGGCAGTAGTGTAAGCAAGCTACTGGTATAGGTGGCAGCAGCGCATCGTTATAGCTAAATTCCCTTAAAACAAAAAAAAAAAACTAATGTAGCTCTAACCGCACCCCTTCGCATCTGCCTCCTCTCTCAGCAGCTGCAGCAGCGCCCCTACAGCGTTCAGCAGGAAACTACGGACGCAGGCATATTTTCTCCCGGTGCACAGGGGAGGGTAAGACGGTGTTATCGTGGAAGCTAAAGATAACTAGCGATCGAAGAGAGACAAGATGGTGCTTGCACTACCAAGGCTACCAAGCATGGAGGAGAGGAGTTTGCACACTGACATGAATGGCGTTAGCTAAGTTATTTCTAGGGACTTTAGTTTTAGCTAAACCTTTAGTTTTAGCGAAGCGGTACGAAGCACCCGCCTTTTCGTTCGTATCGCATGGTCACCGTAGCGCACTAAACAACGCGGTTTTTAGAATCCTGTATCTATGCACTTTGTGAATATGCACACATCCTATTGTTTACGTATTGATGCTGCGCCTCAAATATGCATAATGTTTGCCTTATTATTGATAATAATCACAAGTAGAAACGCAGTCACTGGATCAAGGGGGGTTGCCGTTGGTTGTCGTTGAGCCGGGGCTTAAAACTTTCGCCGGGTGGCTGAATCGTTGTACAGACAGACAGACGAAAATTTATGCGTTGAAGAATTCCAAAAAAAGACTAACGTTTTGTTAAAGTGGCAAGCCACAAGATACTTGCCGCATGCGTGCTATTTTCACCAAATGGAAATTCGCTTTGATTGTGTTCTCTTTAATAGTATAGTGGCAGGCACTGCAGATGGCGGCCGTACGACTCCCAATATGTAGGCATGATTGTCGCGTATACCACTGGTTATGATAATTATCATAATCCTTAGCGGCATCCTCTTCGGAACTATGCTTTGAAAAATCGCCACACAGTCCATTCTTTTTGAAATCACGACGACTCAAGAAGGATATCATGATTGTGACATCCGTGTACGGTTATCGACAAAACTTTAGTTCTCCCAACTTATTCTTTGCGCTTTTCCCGTCTGATTTCTCTTGTTAATTTTCCCGTCGCTTGCAGTTGCTCCGTCTGATCGCCACGCTATTTCGGTTTACGTCCACTGTGTCCAGTTTCCCCTCTCCACGTGGACACAAGCCGACGATCCGCAGAGTTTTGTCGCAATTACAGATACTAGTAGCCGCTAGGCGGGGATTGTAGTGACTCTTACTCATCGAACACGACACTACTACCACGTCGTCGCTCGCGTTCCCATTAAGTCGTGACTATCTAGCAAGTATTCGCGTGGCTTCCAGAGTTAACAGTGAGTCATGGATTCGTAGAATGGATCACAGAGGGTGTTGGCATACGTGGCGTGGTTGTCATGGAAGTGTTGAGTTCTGACTTTGTTGGTACATTTTTTTTTTCATTGAATAATGCATAAGAATAATATGAATTCGGGGAAGCGAAGAGACTTCCGTGTAGCCTGTCATGCACATATGCCGAAGTATCCTGCGTTAAACAAAATCGCGAAAAAAAAATGTAAAAGTGTGAGCATGTTGTTCTCCAGAGAATCGTTCCTTATTTGTATTTCGTTAAGGGCCCTTCGCGTTGACTTGCAGGCTCTTGGCTGTGTAGATCGTTGCTGCGAGCCGCAATCTTAGCGACATCTGCCCGTCGTCTCCGAGATAGATTGGCGGAACGGAGCCAGCTGGGTACAAACACCGCCCAGTTCACGGGTGGAGTTGCACGTGTACACAAGGCGTGGACCGTGTCTCTTGCTATGATTTCGTGTCAGTAGACGTAGGCGTGTCTGAAGTGTTCCGGTATGCGCCGTGGTGTTTGGCTGATGACGGGTTACATTCCGCTACTGGCATTGACATCTTGATACGTGTGTCCTCACGAGTGTTTTCTTGTTCCGTGAGCCTCCTCTTCGGAAAATAACTGCAGACAAGATCACGCCGCTAGATTAACCTTTCTAGAGGGTTGTTTATTGTCTTAGCTTAACGCGATCTGCCATGTGGTGGTCGCATTTTGGAGGAGGCGAAATTCTAGAGACCCGTCTAGTGTGCAATATCAGTGCTCGTTGAAGAACGCCAAGCGGTCGAAATTTTCGGAGCCCTTCACTGTGGCGTCCCTTATAACTATACCGTGGTCTTAGGACTTTAAACTCCCGCAAGCGTTATCTGCTAAGACTTACAAAGAAAATGAATGAACAAGTGTCCGTCTAAGTCACGCTCTCCTGGCTGTCACATCGTTTTCTTTGGTTTCGCTCTGACAGTTAACTACGAGAGCTACCGCAAGCATATATGACCGCACTCATTTGTTTATTCATTAATGATGAACTTGAGTCGTCGGGGTGGAGATGTGCGACCAAGTTTCGACGAGGACGCATCTACGTTTAGCGGTGCTACAGCTGTCTAATACCAATCGATATTGCAGAAGCTCTCTTATATCAGTTTGCTGTAAACGTTCAACTCCTTCTTTAAGGACACATTTTTCATTTGTGTCCTGCCGGTTCCTATGACGGAGGTATCAACCATGTTGTTCTTTTTTTTCTTTTTTCAAACATCCAGGTTCCCCTGAAGAAGACCACCTTCATGTTGGAGCGACCCGAGACGGAGTCGGCCCAGGGAAGCCTCGATGGACAGGAGGTGTTTCCCTCGTTCTCCGACATCGTGCTCGCCTCGCAGGGACTCTCCAAGGACTCCCCTGGGTAAGTGGCGCCGCCTGGTGTCTTGACGACCAACTTTATTTTGGGCCGTTTGCTCCTCGCTTCGGGACAGGTATACGCGCGTATGTTGGGCCGATTCTAGACGCAGTGTAAACAGTAGATGGTGGCCATAAAGAATGTGTGCCGATCCACTGTGGATTGCTGGCGTATCGTTCTGTTGATATCCGAAATGAAAATCTTTCGTAGGGAGATCAGACTTTTTAACTTCTTTTGTACGCATTACTCCTAAAATTGGGGCAGTATGTCAGCCATAGCGCCAGGCTCTGCACTCGGACGAGTTCGGAGTCGTCATCTGGGAGAGGGTGGTCAAGCACCTCCCCCCAAACCAAATGATGAGTACTGTTTCGATAAACCGAAATCTCGAACTGTATAACACCACTTTTCGCTACTTTCTAAGCAATAGGTAGATATTCGAGCCACAGGGACAACTTTTTTCTTTCTTTCTCTGCGGTACAGGTGGCATCTCCGTGTTGTTAACATAGGCCTCCCAAGAGTGGCCACACCGTTGCGCAGCAGGCGGCTTCACCATCTACCTCGTTGGTCTAACAGATGGGGATTATCGGGAAACTTGACTCAATACGACGCGCATGAATACCTACTCATTTGTGGTAAAGCTTACTTGAAAAGGGGTAATTTGTAAACAGGAATTTTGTTGCTTTCACCGCACTCATTTACTCCGACATTAAAAAAGAAAATTTAAGTGTTCGGTGAACAGTTACAGCCTCCGTACCGCTCTGGCGCACTACTTTGGAGTAGGCGTATGACACGCGAGTGAAACATAGAAACGCGTGAAGTACACTCGATACATTACGGAAGTTGGGGAATTCTCCGGGGGGTGGCGGTCGTGATCTGTTCTTTGCACTGAGGGGCTCGTTTTGTATTACTTTAACTACTAAAACGGAGGGGCAGTTAATCCAAGGAAAGCACAGATGTAAAAAGTAAAGGAGAGGAAAAAATAGAATCTTCCGTTCATTTTGATTTCTTTAACTTTAACAGAGAATAATTAAAACACTGTTAGGAGATCACAAATTGTGTTCCACAAGTTTTTCTTGTTCTAACAGTCCGTCAGATTTGTTTGTTTAAAAAACGATAAATTGTGTATATACCGCGCGAGCATTGTGCACGCTTCGTATTGCACTTCGTCATATCGTAATTTACGTGTACACAAACTTGTTCAATCTCTAAAGTATTTTTATCTGGCGAGGTGGCTATAGTTCTAGGAGTGTTGTTTCGATAATGGAAAGCCTTTTGATTTGCTTAGTAGTGTGTTCAGCTGTGCCTCGTTCACTTAGTCTTATCAAGACAACGGGCGCGAACTTGCAAACGACGCGATAAATGTAATCTCCCAGCGCAAATGCGTGCATTAGTTTTCAGTTTCCCTTTTAACAGGTAGATATCGTACGTTCACGCTTAACAGCCCTCCCTGCCTTGCCCGCGCATGCAATAACCTGTTCAGTGTGCCGCCTGTGTAGAGCTTTATCGAGGCTTCTTACCTAAACACCGCGTATATAAGGTAAGTATACTTACCTTGTGCTCGCTAACCTGGTACTGCGGGTAAACGTTATCAAGCTTCACGCGTTTTACGCGTGACTAGTTTCTGCGTCGTATCCTGCGCAGTGTCTTGCTGAAATGTGGCTCGCAGGTCCCAGCTGACGGCGCAAGGCGTTTCGTTTTATCTACTCGCCTCGTGATTATGGGCTTAGAGGGTAACAGCCTTGAATGTAAAGAAAATCGGGGGAGGGGGGGGGGAAGAATAGCGTGTGACCGGGAGAGCTTGGTACGTGCTGTGCCGAAATCCTCCCGGGAGCTTTTTGGCACTGCTTCTCTATTTTCTTCTCTCTTTAGACATAAGGAAGGGGTGGAGGAAGGGAAGATGGCGGGTTGATGGAGGTAATGTTGAAGCATGTACCGGACGGCACGGCGGTATTCTCGGGAGCTCCAGAAAAAAAAAAAAAAACTAGCACGAGATGGTCGACGGGTTAGTTCTCGTAGCCTTGGGATCGTCTTCTGTTTGCTTTGTTTTGTTCATTTCCTTTGGGAGGAAAGTTACTGGAGTTGCGAAAACTTTCATGATGGTCGACCAGACCTGCTCTTTTCCAAGTGAACTTGTTTCTTTCTTTTTTTCTTTTGCTCATTTTTTTCTCGTCCATTGACATTAGTAACTTCTACTCTTAGCCTCACGACCAGCCACATGAGTGTGTAGAAGAATGCACGGATCATTTCTGTTTTTCCGTGTTTCCGGCGTTTATTTTTTTGTATGAATCGTGTCGTGGCACTGCGATTGCTAAAACCACGCCATCCCGTCATTCGCGCGAAGCTGACAAGCCCGGTAGCTGTGGGAATTCTCCTAGGCGTCATCAAGGGGTGGGCAAATGACTGGTCCCTCTGTCTGAAGAGAGGTGCTTGCAGGCGCCCTCTGCTGGTGTCTCGGTGCGCAGTTAGAAACGCCGTCGGGCGAAGCTATTATTTTCGCCGCTGTTGACAACAATACACAGGAGGGCCATCGCATCTACACACCCAATTTCGTTTCCACCTCACGCGTTCGCCTTCTTCTGGAATCAAGATAGTTACGCTTACTGACCGATGGTTGATGGTTATCCTGCCTACTTTAGTCTAGCCACAGATTAGTGCTAGCGAGGTTCTCTGGCTACTGCAGCGGGACGCTGCATTGAGAAAGATACGTATATGTGAACTTAAGCAAAATTAGCTGGAAAATTGTTATAAATCTTTGCGGCTAAATGCAGTTGGCAGGCGCAAAAGTGTCCATATGACGCTAGATGCTCGAGCAGGAAGGTATGTGGAACAATACATGCGTCGAATTCGCATCGGTGTAATTAAAGTGATCGTATCATAAACTTGAATTCGAGTTCCATCTTGTATTGCTGACGATAGTACATTGTAAATTAGTTTACACCGCTTATAATCATCAACGTATATGAGTAAAGCATGCATTTATTTATTTATTTATTTATTTATTTATTTATCATAGTACCCGCAGCGCCCAAAGGCATTACAGTGGGGGCGAGGGGGGGGGAGAGAATACAAAATTTCAACACTGAGTGCAGATACTCACACTTCTACAACACAATAATAACGCAATTCATTGTCAACTATACATAGCGGCACGTTGTTGATATCGCATTAAAGGTTGTTATCGCATTGAGAGGTACAAGAGCCTCAAACAACCTCGCAAGAAGTCTAAAACAGCCCCGTGTGTTTGCATATCGGCTCATATTTAATGGAGTTTTCGTAATAGCAAGTGTTTATTGCTGTTTTTAATTTTTTTCTCTTTTTTGTATTTTTTTTACCGAAATGATTCTCGTCACGTCTCGGCCTCAATCATGCATCCTAAACGAGTTTGCTTACATTCCGCATCATGAAGTCTGCTGATGGGGCTTAAAAGTGCCGAATAATTTTCGCATAACGCCTATCTGGCGTTGCCATCGAGAAAGCTTTAAAAAGCGCATTAAGATGCTTGTCGACTTGCGGGCCTCGCGTTTTTAACGAAAATTACTCGGCGTAGCAAACAGCTCGCATTTTGACGCCACCACCTTGCGTCTTGCGCGCCCGGAGCGTTATGAGGCTTAGGTAAGTCCAGATTGATTCACGATAAAAAAAAATGAAATCATTCTATGAAACTAAACAACAGCACGCCATGTTCATATCGTTTATTTCTTTACCCCAATCGTTAGAAAGCATAAAGGAAATTCAGTTGCCTCCGTTATGAAATTTAGGCCGTATGAAGCGGTAATGTGCTGGTATTAATAGATTTTTCTTTAATTTCGTAACCACGTGATTTATGATCTATTTCGCGTTGTCTTTTGTCGAGTTCATATCTGTTTATCTGATCCCGCGCGCTCTTCGTACACGGATGAGCAACGCATCGGTCGGCCCGGGAAAACGTTAGACAGCAGTGACATCGATATAATATTTTGGCGCCTTTTGTGGCCCGATTCATTCGTTATCTAATCTAGACATCTTCGCTCGGACCTAGTTTTTAACCTTTCCTATCATATGCATACCCTCACTAACTGTGTAAGAATACGAATTGGCGGGGTGGGCGGTAAACGATGATAAATCCGCGGCAGGCGTAGACATGGATTCGTCCTTTCTTGGTGCCTTTCTGTTTTCACAGGGTCATTCGTTATCAAATGTAGCACATCTCGCCCGGACCTAGTTTATCAGCCTATTCGATCTCGGATACGAATCTGGGCGAGCACTCTTCCAATATGGATGAACGTCGCGGATTGCTGAGGAAACGGCCGTACGAAATTGCGAGATCCGGTCGCTGTTGCGTAGGAAGAATACAGAATAAAAGTCCCGGTCGGCGGCGTTGATGCGACAGTGCTTGGCACTCGGGAGGTGTCCTGCCCCTTCGGTCAAGAACGTGATTCGCATTGCGATAATCCCTTGGAACTCCATACCCGGATGAAGGAATGGGATGGAAAGAGATCCCTGGCGACTGAGTGAAGCCCGTGGTCTATCGCAATGCAACAGACTTGTCCTAGAAAGCAGTGGCAATGCCGGCAGAAACAGCGTGTACTACGGTACGAAGAAGATGCGAAATGGAAAGCTAGGGCACGAACAAAAGCTTTATTGGCTGGCGGTGTTTCGGCATTTAGTTGGCCAGCTTTCATGTGACGTCGTGGATGTTGATGATGATCAGTGGTGATGGTCATCATTAGTGGGTATGGTCATCATTGGTGGGTATGGTCATCATTGGTGGGTATGGTAATCATTGGTGGTTATGGTCACCATCAGTGGTGATGGTAATGATCAGTGCTGACTGCCATTATCAGGGCTGATGGTCATGATCAATGATGATGGCCATGGATGTTGAAGACGGACGGGCGGTTGCAGGGCGGAAGAGAGAGAATAGAAAGAAAAGGTTCGGCTACGAGCATTAAAATGAAAACATGAAGTGCTGGGTCTAGGCCGCGGTTCTTTTTATGCGACAATATTTCTGGTGCCGAAACTCGGGA